AGGAGGAATCCGATATGCTACGATGCTCTCCCCCCCCCCCCCCACGGGGTCAGCAGGTCACAACGACGACAAACACAACACAACACGCACCGACAGCAGTGCAACGTGCAGGCAAAGGGAAACGCGTCACTGGAGGCCAACTGCAGCACAACACGTGTGTAGTGAAGGACACAACTCAACTATGTTAAACTGCGTTGTACTTCACCAGGTAAATCCCACCGTGCTGTGTAGCTCTTGTGCAGACGCGACCCGACCATCACAACTGACAGCTCAACCAAGTGGCTGAGCATCATCATCATCATCACGTGGACATTTACAGCAGCAGACAAACGCTCTAGTCGCGTGGTGACGTTCATTCTAAAAGCGGAGGAGGAAAAAAACGGAGGACCCGGAGAAAAATCTACACGACCAAGGGGAGAGAGAGACACGCAGACTCCAAAAACACAGCAGCAGCAGGCGTCGTCAGGGTCGGGATCAAACCCACGACCTGCTGTAGACCAGGCGAGATTGTTAACATCTCACCACGGGGAGAGAGACACACAAACTCCAAATATACAGCAGGCGTCAGGGTCTGGATCGAACCCACGACCTCCTGTATACCAGGCGAGATGGTTAACATCTCACCACGGGTAGAGACACGCAAACTCCAAACAGCATGTGCCTATACCACACACTTCAGACGTGTACCGAGTCTACAGTTCATACATCGGTCCGTCTCGGGAGGTTGATGGGCGGCCTCACTGCTCAAACAATCCTACACACGTGTACATTATCATTCCAGTGCAGTCATGCACACTATCATTAGAGTCCTGCAATTACAATGATCAAACTATAAAACGACTTTTTATTTTAACCAGGTAAGGCCCACTGAGCAATAGAGCTCCGTTTCAGAAGCAACCTGGCCACCAATGATGGCCCAAGCAAGTGGCTTCTCATCGCGTGGACAGTCACCGCAGCCAAACACTCGGAACGCGTGGCGACGTCGCGTCTAAGTGCGGAGAGGAAAACCGGAGGACCCGGAGAAAAATCCACGCGACCACGGGGGGAAGAGAGACACGCAAACTCCAAATAGAAACAGCAGCAGGCATCATCAGAGAAGCAACACGGTACTGTATTCATAATAAAGGTTTTTGGGTCAGATCGCGTTATTTATAAATGTGTCGTAACCCTCCACCACCCGACACGGGCAAACAGTAAAAAAATGTGTCACGTTTTTCAAAGGACAAAACAATTCACTTTAAATTCTGTCGATTCTCTCTTCAACACACAGGTGGGCTCAAGAAGTGAATTATTTTGTCCTTTGAAAAACGTGACTTTTTTACTGTTTGGCCGTGTCGGGTGGTGGAGGGTTACGACACATCAATAAATAACGCGATCCGACCCAAAAACCTTTATTATGAATAATATTGGTCGCGAAAGCCTACACGTGTTAAACTGACGGTACTGTATGGCGCGTATACAAACACAAGCGTGTACAGCACGGTCAATCCATGCTGGATGAAGAACGTCTCACACGAGGTTTTCAGGACAACGGTTCTAACAATGTGTGCTTGGTGATCACTGCGGGCTTGGTGATCACTGCGGGCTTGGTGATCACTGCGGGCTTGGTGATCACTGCGGGCTTGGTGATCACTGCGGGCTTGGTGATCACTGCGGGCTTGGTGATCACTGCGGGCTTGGTGATCACTGCGGGCTTGGTGATCACTGCGGGCTTGGTGATCACTGCGGGCTTGGTGATCACTGCGGGCTTGGTGATCACTGCCGGGCTTGGTGATCACTGCGGGCTTGGTGATCACTGCGGGCTTGGTGATCACTGCGGGCTTGGTGATCACTGCGGGCTTGGTGATCACTGCCGGGCTTGGTGATCACTGCGGGCTTGGTGATCACTGCCGGGGGACTCCTCCTCTGCAGGGGAAGTCATCTCGAGTGCGGAAACGCAGAGCGGGGCAGTGCACGCGCAGACCGGAAGCATGCCGAGTCGAGAGCGCACGTGGCCACAAAGATCCACCGCGTAGCCTTAACAGACTGTAGGGGCAAGTTCCGTTAGCGAGTAGCACCTATGAAGGCCGGAACCGTACTCGAGGGGGTGGGTGGCCAGCACCAAGCCCAACCGCCTTTGTCTCCCCAGTGGTGATGTTTACACACCACACCAGGTACTCATTTGAGGCTGAGTCGACCTAGGGGAGGCCCAGGACCGGTTCAGATAATCGTCACCGGTGTTGGCCGTGAGCGGGAATCGAACCCGTGTCGCCGGGTTCAGTAGCGCAGCGTAGCGCAGCGCGCTAACCGTGACACTACCGCTCCACACACACTCACACACGTGGTGGATTTGTCGGACCCCGAGTGTGCGAGTCAGTCAGAGTCACGGTCCTGGGCCTTCACTAGGTCAAGTCAGCCCTCGAGTGAGTAACCCGGTGCCGCGTGTGAACATGGCACACCTGGGGAGACAAAGGCGGCCGCGGGTTGCTGGCGACCTCACCACCTCGTGTGCCGTCCCTAATTAGGCGTTCGCTCACATCCCCAATGCCATGGGGAGGGGTATTTGTACCGTGTGCGTCTACAAACACGACTCCGTGTGTATGTGTGGGGCCCCGTGGCACCTGCTGGGGCTGCTGCCACCGTGGCCTCCTGCCGGCCGGAGTTCCGACACTTCACGTGGCCTCAACGTGCACCTAGCCTGGCACAAGCGCCGTCACCGCCACTTAGTGGTGCTTGTTGTTGTTGAGTGTAGCGGTTAAAGCTGCGCTACGAACCCGGCGGACCCGAGCTCAGATTCCCGCTCACGGTTCAAACAAACGCTGACGAATACCCGAACCGGTCCTGGGCCTCCCCCCTCCTAGGTCGACTCAGCCTCAAACGAGTAGCCGGTGCTGCGTGTCAACGTCAAACATCGCTACTCGGGAGACAAAGGCGGCCCGGGCGTGGTGCTGGCCACCCACCCCCCCCCCCCCATGTGCCACTTGAAGGGATTTCTGCTGCTGCTCGCGAACAGCACTCGCCCCGGCAGTCTCAAGTAGACCCCTCGCCCACCACAAAGACAACAACAACACAAAAACAACAACAACACAAAGACAACAACAACAACACGGCCGCGTGTCGCCCACCACCCCACTTCTTCCTCTTCCGTATTCGCGCCCAATGGCGAATCGCGCCCTCGGCAGCGATACACGCGTTCACACACACACACTCTCGAGCAGGGAGCACACACACACACACACGAGCACACACACACGGAGCGCGCACACACACACTCAAGGAGCACACACACTCTATCAAGGAACACACACACACACGAGCAGAGCACACATACACACTCTAGCAAGGAGCACACACACTAGCAGAGAGCACACACACGCACCAGCAGGGCGCACACACACGCACAAGGAGCACACGCACAAGGAGCACACACACGAGCGGAGCACACACACTCTAGCAGGGAGCACACACACTCTAGCAGGGAGCACACACACACGGAGCACACACACACACACGAGCACACACACACAAGGAGCACACTCTAGCAGGGAGCACACACACACTCTAGCAGGGAGCACGCCCACACACACACTAGCAAGGAGCACACACACACGCATCAACAGGGAGCACACACACGCACAAGGAGCACACACACACACTCTAGCAGGGAGCACACACACACACTCTAGCAGGGAGCACACACACACACTCTAGCAGGGAGCACACACACACTCTAGCAAGCACACACACACACAGGGAGCGCACACACACACACACAGGGATCACACATGCACACAAGGAGCGCACACAAGGCGCGAGCACGTGTTTTACACAAGCGCCACGTGCAGCGCGCGCGACCCACGTGTGCGTGCGCGCGCACACACAACATGACGTCGCCACAGCGCTCGGTGCCAGGCTAGGTACACCTGGAGGACAAGTAAAGTTTAAAAGTGTCGAACGTTCCGGCTGGCAGGGCAGGCCCATCTTGGTAACAGAACGCGGGTGTTGTGTTGTGCGTGGCTTATTTGGGCTCTGCCGTACACATAATCACTCTCACACGCAGCAGCAGCAGCAACCCAGAAGCAGCAGCAGCAACCCAGAAGCAGCAGCAACCCAGAAGCAGCAGAAACCCAGAAGCAGCAGAAACCCAGCAGCAGCAGCAACCCAGAAGCAGCAGCAGCAGCAACCCAGAAGCAGCAGCAGCAGCAACCCAGAAGCAGCAGCAGCAGCAACCCAGAAGCAGCAGCAACCCAGAAGCAGCAGCAGCAGCAGCAACCCAGAAGCAGCAGCAGCAACCCAGAAGCAGCAGCAGCAGCAGCAGCAGCAACCCAGAAGCAGCAGCAGCAGCAGCAACCCAGAAGCAGCAGCAGCAGCAGCAACCCAGAAGCAGCAGCAGCAGCAACCCAGAAGCAGCAGCAACCCAGAAGCAGCAACCCAGAAGCAGCAGCAGCAACCCACGCGACCACATGGCCCACATGGTCCACACGGCGAACGCGTCTGCCACATGGGGTGGTGGTGGTGGTGGTTGTTCGCGCGGGGGGGAGAAGCTAAACCAGCAATCATTCCTGTTACCCGCCCGCTCCCCCCCCCATAGGTGATCAACAACGACAACGGCGGCGTCGTACGGACAACCACGCGAACCACAACAGCAGCAGCAGCAGCACGGGGATAAAGAAAAGCACGCAGCGTCACAAATGGCGCGCGCGCGATCCACCCCCCACCCCCCTCATGCCTCTCCTCCTTGCGCCTTCACCACAAACGTGGCCATCACCACCACCACCACCACCCTCACCACCTTCCCTCGCAGCAGCAGCAGCAACAACAACAAAAAACCCCGCGACACTGAGATCGCAATGCAAGACTTATGGCGGCCGCCGCTAGCCAATGTACCCCACTGCTGCGTCTCGCTTTGGCTGCTGTCGATATCGTCGTGACCCTCCCTCCCGTGTGCGTGTAGGCGTGTAGGCGAGCGAGCTAAGTGAGTGAGCGAGTGTCGCCAGTGTGGGCCAAGGTGGTCCCCGTACCGGCCTTGAGGAGCAGGTCCAGTTGGTTCCCGCCCGCCCAGCGAGACACGCTCGCCGCCATCTTGCCCCCAGCAGCGCGCGCTCGCTCACTCTCTCTCCCTCGCTCGGTATCCGTGCGCATGCGCGGGCCGCGTCACCGCCTCCACTGCCCCCACCCACCCACCAGCACTAACAGCCGCTGCCGCCGCCGCCGTCGCGAATGAATCCCAAACCACCATCCTACCCCCCCCTCCTCCTCTCCACATTGCGCGCTTCCAACCCGGCGAGCCGAGTGAGTTCGACTCCTGCTCACGACCCGACGCCGGTGACGATTATCTGAACTGGTCCTGGGGTCGTTCCACACTAGGTCGACTCAGCCTTAAATGGGTGGTTCGTAAAATATCGCCACCGGGGGAGAGAGACAAAGGCGGCCGGGCGTGGTGTTGGCCACTCACCCCCACCCACCCCCCCTCTCGTGTGTTATTCCGGCCTTCATAGCCGCTCGCTAACAGCACTTGTCCCCAACGGTCTGCTAAAGGCTACACGGGGACCTTTGTCTCTTGTTGCCCCCGTTGGCACGCGCACCCCCCCCCCCCCTTCGTTTCCGTTAGGCGCGGGGGGGGGGGCGACGGGCGGGGGGGGCGCGCGCTCAACCGGAAGCGACGACCTATCAGAGCGCGGCATTGCGCGAGGGGCCCGGCCAATGGGAGCGCACTTCCGACTTGTGTATCGCTCCGCCAAGTGCACCGCCGCACCGGTTTTATTTATTTTTTTCGCCTCCCGCACAGATGGTTTCGATTCGATTCAGTCGATTACCTCCGCATGCGATTCTGATATCGATTTGTGAGCGTAGGAATCGTTTATTTTCTAGCAATACAATACGAATCATTATTATTGCGTAAAGGCAATCAATCACATGCTTTTAAGAGATTTGTTTATATTCTCTGCATACGCGAACTCCTGTGCTAGGAATATAACGATTAATCGATTATTAAAGATACTGACATCATCGATTCATGCGTGGGACATTTGCTTGTTTCGATTCTAAGCGGTGTCATATTGTAGCCACTGGATTCTTTAGCAACAATGATGAATATTCACTCCCATTGCATTCTGTAGAATCCACGCCAAAGATTAACTCCACTGGCTTTTATGGAATCAATGTCAAATATTCACTCCACTGGATTATGTAGAATCAATGTCAAATATTCACTCCATTGGATTATGTAGAATCAATGTCAAATATTCACTCCACTGGATTATATAGAATCAATGTCAAATATTCACTCCATTGGATTATATAGAATCAATGCCAAATATTCACTCCATTGGATTATGTAGAATCAATGTCAAATATTCACTCCACTGGATTATATAGAATCAATGTCAAATATTCACTCCACTGGATTATATAGAATCAATGCCAAATATTCACTCCATTGGATTATATAGAATCAATGTCAAATATTCACTCCATTGGATTATATAGAATCAATGCCAAATATTCACTCCATTGGATTATGTAGAATCAATGTCAAATATTCACTCCATTGGATTATATAGAATCAATGCCAAATATTCACTCCATTGGATTATATAGAATCAATGCCAAATATTCACTCCATTGGATTATGTAGAATCAATGTCAAATAATCACTCCATTGGATTATGTAGAATCAATGTCAAATAATCACTCCACTGGATAATATAGAATCAATGCCAAATATTCACTCCATTGGATTATATAGAATCAATGTCAAATAATCACTCCACTGGATAATATAGAATCAATGTCAAATATTCACTCCACTGGATAATATAGAATCAATGTCAAATAATCACTCCATTGGATTATGTAGAATCAATGTCAAATATTCACTCCATTGGATTATGTAGAATCAATGTCAAATATTCACTCCACTAGATTATATAGAATCAATGTCAAATATTCACTCCATGGGATTATATAGAATCAATGTCAAATATTCACTCCATTGGATTATGTAGAATCAATGTCAAATATTCACTCCACTGGATTATATAGAATCAATGTCAAATATTCACTCCATTGGATTATGTAGAATCAATGTCAAATATTCACTCCACTGGATAATATAGAATCAATGTCAAATAATCACTCCATTGGATTCTATAGAATCAATGTCAAATAATCACTCCACTGGATTATATAGAATCAATGTCAAATATTCACTCCATTGGATTATGTAGAATCAATGTCAAATAATCACTCCATTGGATTATATAGAATCAATGTCAAATAATCACTCCACTGGATTATGTAGAATCAATGTCAAATATTCACTCCACTAGATTATATAGAATCAATGTCAAACATTCACTATATATAATCAATGCTAAAGACTCAGACCAATGTGCAATCTATGGAATAAATGCTCAAGATGATCTCCACTGTGCATTGTAGTGCCCAATGCTATCAATCCCCACCACCAGAATACATTCTGCAGTATATTTGTATTTCTCAATAACACTAAACGCACCACAAAGGCAGATTAGGAATTTATTCTTGAATCGCACCACCATTCTCGATCCTGACGACTCCTATTAGTACGGCTGTCTACATATGGTGCGAAAAAAGTTAAAAATACACTGCCCAGAGACTAACACTGCCCATAGACTCAACACTGCCCATAGACTCAACACTGCCCATAGACTCAACACTGCCCATAGACTAACACTGCCCATAGACTAACACTGCCCATAGACTAACACTGCCCATAGACTAACACTGCCCATAGACTCAACACTGCCCATAGACTAACACTGCCCATAGACTAACACTGCCCATAGACTCACACTGCCCATAGACTCAACACTGCCCTGAGATTCAACACTGCCCATAGACTAACACTGCCCATAGACTCAACACTACCCATAGACTCAACACTGCCCTGAGATTCAACACTGCCCATAGACTAAACACTGCCCAGAGACTAACACTACCCATAAACTCAACACTGCCCATAGACTCAACACTACCCATAGACTCACACTACCCTGAGACTCACACTGCCCATAGACTAACACTGCCCATAGACTAACACTGCCCTGAGATTCAACACTGCCCATAGACTAAACACTGCCCAGAGACTAACACTACCCATAAACTCAACACTACCCATAAACTCAACACTGCCCATAGACTAACACTACCCATAGACTCAACACTGCCCTGAGACTCACACTGCCCATAGACTAACACTGTCCCATAGACTAACACTGCCCTGAGATTCAACACTGCCCATAGACTAACACTGCCCATAGACTCAACACTGCCCTGAGATAATTGGTTCTTTACCCTTCTATCTGGCAACAAAACTGACACCTTTTTGCAAGGAGTCATGTTTGCATAGACCGCAATACCTGCAGTCATAATACAAACAAAAGAACATAACTCTGATAATGTGCACTGTCCTTGAAGTTGATTGGTCCACACCCGAGACAGCTTTCCTTCGAGCCTAGTCTCATATGCAAACATGACTCCTTGCAAAAAGGTGTCAGTTTTGTTGCCAGATAGAAGGGTAAAGAACCAATTATCATATTTTTACTGGCAAATGAGGTCCCCATAGTGTAACTGCCCTGAGACTCACACTGCCCATAGACTCAACACTACCCATAGACTCAACACTGCCCATAGACTCAACACTGCCCATAGACTCAACACTGCCCAGAGACTAACACTGCCCAGAGACTAACAACTACACAGACTCAACACTGCACCTCCGATTAGCAGGGTCGGCTACGTACGGTGCGAAAGAAGTTCAACAAAAACACATACAACCGAGTGGACCGTTTGCATGCCCTGTTGCAGCATGTAGCACAGCGCTCGACATTTCTGCCGAATCACAAAAATGCGGCGATAAGGCTGCACATGCAAACAGAGTCCAAGTGTGTGTGATGAGAGATGAGAGATGTGTGATGAGAGGTGTGTGTGTGTGTGGAGAGCGGTAGTGTAGCGGTTAGCGTGCCGCGTTATGAACCTGGCGACACGGGTTCGATTCCCGCTCACGGCCAACACCAGCGACAATTATTAGAACCCATCCTGAGCCTCCCCTAGGTTGACTTGGCCTCAAATGAGTACCTGGTGTGATGTGCCGGCCTTCATCGGTGCTCGCTAACAGCACTTGCCCCAACAGTATGTTAAGGCTATACGGGGGATCTTTGTCTTTTTTTGTGTGTGAGATGAGAGGTGTGTGTGTGTGAGATCGGCACCACGCCCGGACGCCTTTGTCTCCCAGGTGCTGATATAGTAACACACGACACCGGGCGCTCATTCAGGGCCGTGTCGACCCAGCAAAGGCACTTCAGATAAATTTTCACCCACTGCAAGCCGCGGCCACCAACTTGACCCTTTAGGGGGTCCTGGTTTGGAGCACAGTGCACCGACCACTCACTGCAGCACGCCAAAGACAAAGTTCCCCCGTGTAGCCTTAACGGACTGTCGGGGCAAGTTCTGTTAAGCGAACATTTCAGAAGGCCGGCACGGCACACAAAGAAGGGAGGTGGGTGGCCAACCCCGTGCCTGGCCGCCTTTGTCTCCCCAGTGAACAGTAAACATTGCCACTGGGTACTCATTTGAGGCTGAGTCGACCTAGGACCGGTTCAAATAATCGTCACCCGTGTTGGCCGTGAGCGGGAATTGAAACCGGGCCGCCAGGTTCGTAGCGAAACACACTGAACGCGACACAACCGCTCCCACACACAGAAACACACACACATACATGCACACAGACACACATGGATCTCCCAAGTATCGACCTCAACGAGTGGTGGAAATTCCTCATTCCCACACAGCCGTGGCGGCGAGTGCCGTTGCTGTGTTTCAGTGGCTCCCCATCCACCTGCACTGGCGGGCGTGGCAGACGCAGTGGGGGTGGAAGAACGCGCTATCCTGTGCATGCGCCAGGTGTGCCGTGTATAGCGAGAGAGAGACAGCGGTCGATTGGTGGTGCACGTCTATCAGCGCAGACCATCGGTGATGACAAATATCCCGAGGGCCTCTGTAAACAGCAGGAAGGCGATTCTTGTTTGCGAATAGCTAAAAGTGTATCGCGTGACGTTTGATCAAGCATTACATCGTGTAAACTTTAACACGCAGTTTTTCTTGTTAGCAGCCGCCGATATAACGATTTTAGACAAAATTTGTGTTAAGACCCTCTCCCGGCACCCAGCAGCCAAACTATATATTGTTTTGACGAGGTTCAGGGCTCACTGAGCTATAGAGCTTTTTCAGACGCGACCTGACCACAAACGGTAGCTTAACCAAGTGGCGGCCTATGATGTGGCAAAGTAAAGCAGCCAAATACTCTAAACGCGCGACGTCGATGTTGATTCTAAATGTGGAGGGGAATAAAACCGGAGGATCCGGAGAAAAATCCACGTGACCACGGGGAGACGCAAACTCCAAATATACAGCAGCAGGCCTCGCAGTTGGGATCGAACCCACGACCTCCTGTATACCAGGCGAGGTAATGAAAACTAGAAATTAAACTTTTTATTTGACCAGGTAAGCTATGAATCT